TTCTGGGAGATGAAGTCCACGCATCTTAAAAGAGGACGAGGTTGAGAAACGCCGATCTAGCTTGTGAGGAAATATTGGCGTGAGATTCAGAGTCTTAAAGCGCATGGCAGGATTAAACCAGAAACTTTTCTCAACGGAGCCCATTTATGTTGCTAAGCGAGAAATGCAGTTGAGTGCGTTTTGTCCCATTTTGCGACTCTTTTGGCCACGGTTGTTAAGTGAATCACTGCAGTTCTTAAATTAGTCACGCAGTTTTTAAGTGAATCTGGCTTCCATGTTAACTTTGCTTGTCAGAAGTCGCGAAAAGGGACTCTGCAACCGTCATAAATGTGAGTCAGCTGTCAAGCATCCAGATGTAAATCGTGTGACCATAGTAGGGATGCTGCAATGGCCACAGGTGGTCCTAAGTGTGGAAAAAGCCACCTTTTTTCAATACTGTTGTAACTTCAAACGGTCACTAAATGAAACAGTTGTAAGTCGAGGACTACCTGTACTTCAGAAGTGAAGGCCCTGTCAGAAGAATAATTGCGGGTCCCAACTTGAGTAGGGGTTATGCAGGAATAAGTAAAAATGAAATCCAGACAGCTGTGAGGGAAGGAGAAGTTTGTTTGGTAGAGAAGTTTGTACTCTGCTCAGGGGCAACAACATCACTGCTTTTTCAACCTTGTGTGTGCCCACCTGGCCCAAACTGATCCTGTTTTTTCGTCTCTCTCTCTCTCTCTCTCTCTCTCTCTCTCTCCCTTCTCTCTTTCTCTCTCTCTCTCCCCCTCTCTCTTTCTTGATCCCCTTTCTCTCTCCCCCTCTCTTTTCCTCTCTCTTTTTCTCTCGATCCCTTTTCTCTTTTTTTCTCCCCTCTCTTTCTCTCTCCCCTCTTTCTCTCTCTCCCCCTCTTCCCCCTTTTTCTCTCTTTCTCTCTCTCCCCACCTTTCTCTCTCCCCTCTCTCTCTTTCTCTCTCTCCCCCCTTTCTCTCTCTCCCCTCTCTCTTTCTTTCTCTTTCCCCTCTTTTTCTCTCCCCTCTCCCTCTCTCTCTCCCTCTTCTCTTTCTCTCTCTCCCTTCTCTCTTTCTCTCTCCCTTTCTCGATCCCCTTTCTCTCCCCCCCTTTTCCTCTTTTTCTCTTGATCCCTTTTCTCTCTCCCCCTCTCTTTTTCTCTTTCTCTCTCTCCCCTCTTGCTTTCTCTCTCTCCCCCACTTTCTCCCCTCTCCTCTCTTTCCCTCTCTCCCCCTCTCTTTCTCTCTCTCCCTCCTCTCTTTCTCTCTCTCCCCGCTTTCTCTTTCTCTCTCTCCCTCTCCCCCCTCTCTTTCCCTCTCTCTTTTTCTCTCTCCCCTCTCTTCCTCTCTCTCCCTCCTCTCTTTCCCTCTCTCCCCCTCTCTTTCTCTCTCTCCCTCCTCTTTCTCTCTCTCCCCTCTTTCTCTCTCTCCCTCCCTCTCCCTCCTCTCTTTTTCTCTCTCCCCTCTCTTCCTCTCTCTCCCTCCTCTTTCCCTCTCTCCCCCTCTCTTTCTCTCTCTCCCTCCTCTCTTTCTCTCTCTCCCCTCTTTCTCTTCCTCTCTCTCCCTCTCCTCCCTTTTTCTCTCTCCCCTCTCTTCCTCTCTCTCCCTCCTCTCTTTCCCTCTCTCTCCCTCTCCCCCCCCACTCTCTTTTTCTCTCTCCCCGGGCCAGAAGGGAAGAAGAGTTGCTAGCTCTCCTCCAAGGGTTAAAGAGAGTGAACAAAACAGTCCTAGAAAGGCATTTGGGGGGTAGGGGGGTGGGGGGGTCCGGCAGCGGGGAAACCCATTTCCGGCTGTACCCTCCTTTTTTTCTCCCCTCTCTCCCCTTCCTCACCCCCCCGCCCCCCCGCCCCGCCACCGCTTTGCTTTTCTATGGGAACTGAGCAGTTCTGGAAAGAGTAGCCTTCAGGAGTGCAGCTGTCCCCGTAGCTGGTAAGTTGCGGGGTGGCGGGGTGGGGAGGGGGCGTTGGGCTTGGCTGAAGAAGGGAAGGCAGTGCAAAGAAGGGAACTTGCAATGCAAAAAGCCCAGCCAACAACCCAGAGAGGGGTGAGGAATGAAAAAGCAGAGGAGGGAGTGGGGGGGAAGAGTCCCCGAGTCCGTAAATCCCATCCCAGGCTCCTCCTTCCTTTATGCAAAAAGTCACTGTGGGTTTTTTTTGTCTTGAGAAGGGATTTTCCTCGTCATCCAACGTGTGAAGAAGAAGATGCAGGTTGCACCTTTAAAAGTGTGCGAAAAGCCCCCCTCACCCCCCAGCCCTGAAGAATAAATAACCCCTGAAGAATAAATAAGAATAAGGTAAACCTATTTGTATTTATTATACGTACTTATTTATTTATTTTATTTATGTATATGTATTTATTTTGTTATTTATTTATGTGTATGTATTTATTCTTATTATTATTCTGAAGAATAAGGTAAACCGCACCAAACTTGGTTGCAGGAAATACGACTTCAGCAACAGAGTGGTCAATGTCTGGAATACTCTACCTGACTCTGTGATTTCTTCCCCAAACCCCCAAAACTTTAACCTTAGACTGTCTACTATTGACCTCACCCCTTTCCTAAGAGGTCTATAGGGGGCGTGCATAAGCACACCAACGTGCCCACTGTCCCTGTCCTATTGTTTCTTTTTTTATTTTTCTTATATATATATCCATTTCATGTATTCATAACTATGTTTATACTTATACCTATTATCTTGTAAGCGATTCACAAATAAAATAAATCAAATCAATAAATAAATAAGAATGAAATATTTGGGGAAATATTATTTATTATTTATTTATTTTAATTATTAAATTTATATTACTTTCTTTTAAAGGCAGAACATTATATTTCCCTAAAGGAGAAATGGAGTAATGTGTTTTTAGAGGCAGGAAGCACCCCCCCCCAGTCTTTCCCAGTAGCCCACAGCGGGTGCCAGCACTTAAGGAGATTAAGAGCTTATTGAAAGAGGAAGCCAGTTATCTAGATGGCTCCATTCATAAGCAAAGCAAATATTGCGGAGAGAAATCCACGCTAAGCGGGATATTTCAAAACGCCTCGCAGCAAAGCTTGACAGCTAACGAAAGCAGAATGGTAGGATTAGTAGAGCAGCCCCTCCTCACCCAAGATCCAGCACAGAACGAAAGCCATTAGCCACAATAGGAATTCCCCAATACCCTTTCAGAATACAAGCCCCTTCATTGCACAATTACCCTCCCCCTTAGCAGCATTTCAGGACCTGTGTAAAAATCCTGGCATTCATCTAGCTAATTGGACAGATGCCCAAGAACCACAAACCCTGGTGGTTCTGTTCACCAATAAACAGAACCTTCCTTTCCAATCGGCCTCCATGTTGTTTCCAGCATCGTTCTCCCAGCTTGGAACTGAACCAAATGGATATTTCTTCCAACGAGAGGGAGGAGGAATTTGTATCTGTCAGAGTCGGCCCCAAATCTTGTTTTTCGGATTGCAGCTCAGCTCGTAAAATCTTTTACATAAGAAAGAATCAGATCTGCCCAAAGTTTGTTTGAAAGCCTCTGTCTAAAGGGAGGTGGGAAGAAAGAGGCTTTAAGTGGTTGCTGGAAATATGGGCATCTGGCTTAGTCCAAAAGCCCAAACAAGGTTGGCTAGGACTGACGAGCGATCACCAAGAAATTTCAAGTCTGTAAGATGGACTAGGAAGTCCAAAAACATCCAGGAAGAAAGGCAAGGGCAAAATTCTGTATGTTGTTGCTAACATAACTCTGTTAGAAGAAAAAAATTCAGTCCGGGTCCATTGCAGGGAGGAAAAAAAACCCCTGGAAATAAAATGGAGGCTGGCTACAAGGAAAGAAGGTCTCTGTTTATTTGGTTTTCCAGAAACTTCAGGGACAGCAGCATGTTTCTGGGGTGGCTGACCATATGACTGAGAGAATTTTGATAGGGTTCTGGGGTTTGGAGATTGAGATGCTCCAGGGGGTTGTGCAATGAAGGGAGCCTTGTGTCTTTTGCTATTCTAATGGTGGTGGGCAAACCCCATTATGTCTTACAGGTCATGCCCTGTTCTTAGAATTGGGGGGGGGGGGAATGTAAATTGTAATCCCATCAGCTCCAGCCTGGGGAAGCTGTGGCTGAAGGCATTTTGTTTGTGAAGAGACTGGCCTGGATTTCTGCAAAATGGATACTGAATGGAATACTCCAGTTTTCTCAATAGATATAAAAGTATCTGTTGGAGGGACTGCCCGGAGTGTTTTCCTGGTACTGGAGAGAAGTGACTGATTTGATCTTAAAAAAAGCCTTCTTTCTGGGGTGTGTGTGTATGTGTGTGTGTGTGTGTGTGTGTGTGTATACGTGTATACGTGTGTTCTTCCTGCAACTGCATGTGGATTTATTCATTGTCTGGGTATATATGCGTTCAAGATATATTGAAGTC